CACCCCCCCGCCTGTCTGGGTGAAAAGCTAGAGCAGTCGCTCGCTCACGCGTGCTGTAGGCCCAGGATCCGGCCGTCCTGTCGGTAATGTGCAATTGCATTTAAAAACAGGGTGCTTCCCGTTCTGCCGAGCACCTCCCACGCTTGCAGGCGTTCAAAATGGCCAGAACCATTAAGGTCAATCCTGACGCTCCCCAGACAAACGCTCGCTTCTTCGTCCTCGACGTAAGTGCACCTCTGTCTGTTTGCCTAACTAGGGCTCTTATCTGGCTTGCCAAAACATCAGAGACCTAGAAGTTTTTGCCAGAACACGGGAAGTTAAAGTGGACCCCGACAAACCGCTGGAAGGCATCCGGCTGCTGGCGCTGCAGGTAACCCCGTTTTCCTGAGCCAGAGCCCTGGCCGCTGGCGAGATGCGGGCTCCAGGTGCCTGCAAATGTGTGCAAGCCTCTCTTGAGGAAGATGGGGCTTCTGACTCCCTCCAGTGCAGGACACCCTGGGAGTTTTACTTGAGAACGGTCCACGTATCTTTCATTTGTCTGTCAGAAGTCACGAGTGTTCCTGAATCCACAGGTAAAAGATGTTCAGAACGGTCACCTCGAGCATTCTTAAATCGGATGTGCTTCGTCAGAAGAGAAAGATTATTTACTTCTGCTGCTTTTATATCCTAATTCTTTGACATTGTTGATAACCCGTGAGTGAGAGATCTGATGACATCTCCAGAATATACAAATCAGAACAGCGTTTCCTAAAATATGTAGGCTCCTGTTAAAGAAAAAAAAAAAAAAAAAAAAAAAAAAAAAACTCCCCCAGGGTTGCTGTCAGTTCACTAGCTTAGTACGTGTAAACAGAACGGTATAAACTTAAACGCTCATAGCTCCCATGCAACCGTAAAACCAAAATAAACGTGTACGTTAAGTATAAACCGTAAAAGCAGTAACATGCAGATAACAGCGGTAGTAACTCACCGATTCAAGGTGATGGTGGCTGTTGTTTTGCTGAGACCAGTCGCCGTGGAGAACGTGAACAGGGGTCTCCGGAGCTCCTTGCGCAGCCGTGCCCCTTGTGGCAGGCCGGCTTTCCCGCGGCTCCCGCGAGGCCTCGGGCCTGGGGGCGCCCTGCAGCCTGTGGCGAAGGGAGCCCCCGAAGGTGATTTTGCGGGGACCGAGGGGGTGCGGGGCTCCTGCTCTGGCCCTTCCAAGGCTCGCGTTCCAATCCTCACGTTTGCTGATTGCGGTTCAGCCCCAGGGGGAGACTCCCATTTAGGCTTTTCTTCTGGAAGCATTCTGTCTTGCCAGCCTTATTTTCCTGGACGATAGTTCACTGTAATGAATGAGGTAATTTTTGCAGCAGCAGAGAAGGGCCTGCAGTGAGTGCCCGCCGTGTGCAAGGGCACAGCTCTCTCTGAACACTTGGCTGTATCACCTCATTAAATCCTACCAGCTGCCCTGTAGGGGAGATCCCCGCTCCTCGTGACACAGGAAACTGGACCCTGAGAGGTCAGGTGACTTGGCTGAGGCCCACGGTGGCAGTGGTGGGGCTGGGATCGTGACCCGCACCGTGACCGCGGAGCCAGCTCTGTTCGTGTGCGAGGTTCTTAACCGTCGGCCCCTCAGCACAAGGTCAGAGCCTTGAGTGGGTTGGAGATTAGTCCCGGCGCCCTGTAGGAGCGCAGCCACGTGGCGGATGGAATAGCAGCACCCTCCACGTCTGTCTCTCTTCAGGGGAGAGATGGCCACGCTGGAGAAGCTGCTCTATTCCAGGTTGTGAGCACGGGGATGTGATGGTGAAAAAGACACGTGTGCTCCCCGCGCTCTGGGGCTCTGGGGCCGCCGGCTCCTCGCTGTTGCTGGAGACTCAGTAGCTTAAGAGTCACCTGGGAAGCAGGTAGACCTGCAGGCTTTGCCACACCTCCTGAGCTCCGGCAGGGACGGTGGTGCACGTGGCCACAGCCGGTGCCTGGGGACACGGAGGCCTGCTTTTGGGGATACACAGTTTCCCAGACCTTCAGTCGGTTTCTGGATCCTCTTTTTAACAGATACCCCACTGGTGCTTTGAGAGCCGCTGGCCAGGCCAGCACTGGCCGCACGTCGGCCCCACCCAGGGAGCTGTGAAAACTAGTCATTGCCGATGTCACCTTCTGAATGAGAGGCTCTGAGTGGCCCTGGGCCTTGGCTAAGTCTTAGACGGCTCCCCAGGTGGTTTTAAAGCGCAGGTAGGGTTGAGAGCCACTGAGCTGGTAGGTGAGAAGCTTCCAGAAAAGAGGGAGTAACCAGAATAATATGTAGCACACCAGCGTCTCCAGACTACAGATGAACCCAGACCTCTTTCACACTCGAAAAGAGCACGTGGTCACGGCTTGTGTTGAAATATTTCCTCTGTCGTGGCTTTAAGTATGCCAGCCCGCGATTTTATAGGTCTTGTGTTGGTCTCAGGCTGTCATCTCCTGCACAAAGACTGAAATACACTCTTTTTACACCAAAGATTTTATAAGTTTACAGTTGGCTCATGGGCTGCCCCTGCATAATCTGCAGGGCTGCTTGTGGCAGTGGTTCTGGAACCATCCTGGGCATCAGAGTCACCTGTGTGCCTGCCCCCTGAGCTTCTGGTCATTTCTCACAGGCGTCCAGGGGCCGCTGCTGGCTGGGGACCACACTTGGAGAACCAAGGCATTTGGGAACTAAATAGAAGAAAAGGGGCTGTGGACTCAGGTCAATCCAAAATGTCAATTATAATGAGATTGGAATCTGCTGGACAGAGAGAAGGCTCAGGCTGGGCAGCAGGTGCCCCGTGAAAGCATCGTACCTACAGAGTGTGTAACGCTGGGGAGGGGCCACAGGAAGGGCCTGGTTGGAATCCTTGGGCTTCTGTGCCCATTTGCATCGTCATTGCCTGGCGATTTTGAGTGGCAAGTAAACTAGAATTCGTGTTTGATGACAAGCTGTGGGGTGGGCCAGTGGCCCAAGTGACTCTTTGTATTTAATTAGGCATGCAAAGAAGTCGTTCCCCAACAATGACAGTAACAGCAACTTGCCTCTGCGCCTGAAACGTTAAAAATGCACACAAGAAGTTCCTGGGTTTAACTTTATAATTCGTTGATTGTCTTTCTTTTAAAAGAGCAAAAAAACATTGTTGGTGCCAACACCACGGCTGAGAACGGGGTTATTTAATAAGATCACGCCGCCGCCCGGCGCAACGAAGGACGTCTTGAGAAAATGCGCCACCTCTCAGGTAAGTGCGGGCGCAAAGTGCCCCACAGAACTGAACTTCATTTTCCGCAAAGCCAGATGAGCAGAAATGGACTAGCATCCAGCCGTCCCGTGATACAGGAGCCACGTCGAAAAACCACAGGTACACGGGCTCCACTTGAGCTGCTCGGTTTCTCTCTGGCACAGGTTTGCAGATTGCAAAGTTCCTGTTAAAAAGGAAGAGGAAATAAGTTACCTGGTCTCTGACACCTCCCCGTGTTGACCTGTCACTGTCTGGTATCTAGCAATTTCTGAACTGCCACCAGAGCAAGTGGGGACTCAGGGATTTGCAGAACCCTTCAGTTGGAAGTGGCCTCAGCAGTTCTGAATAACGACTTGAGTAATTCAGGGACGGGCTTTTCCGGAGTGTCTCACAGTGTAGTCAAACGGAAGTGTGTAAATACTATCCTAGGCTGCCCTGTAGTGGGATTTGCCTTGTGTTTTGCAGATGAAGAAATAGAATTTGGTGACTTTTTTCAGAGTCCTGGGATAGACCCCCACTCGTTTTGATTCCTAATCTATTGGGAATGAAAACTAAGGCATCAAGATATTCCTATTTATTTTTTCCATCGCATCATTTTAATATAAGCAGGATAAGATGGTCACCTGGCCAGATAATGCTGGTCAAATGTGAATCGTGCAATAAATGGTGTAGAATTCATTCCTCCAGTGGTTTTGGCTGAAGGCTGTGTATCAGCAGCTCTGCGACACGGGGCATTTCAGTGGAGGCGGCAGAGGTGTCACCTAAACACGATTTTCCTCCTGGTGTATGACCGTGGGCTAATTGTGTCTGTAGCCAGGTGTATAATTAAGAGATATTCCTTTTTAAAAGAGATTTTCCGCTTAAGTCTGATGTTTAAAAATTGAACGCTTATTGTTACTTATCGATAACTTTATTCCAAAAAATAGAATCTGATGTGGTTTACAAAAACCCGTGTAATGGAGTACGGTAATAAAACACGTGTAGAAAAAAGTGCAAAGGGAAATTCAAAGTAGAAAAACGAGAGACGGTCGTGCTTCTGGCTGGTGTTCAGAAATGCACCCTGTGGGATGGTCCGCGGCTGGCAGCACGGGCCACGGGTACGCACTCGCGTTTCCCAGAGCCGGCGGGGAGCGTGGTGAGCCGTACAGCAGTCGTAGGTTCGGGAGAGTGAGCGCAGTTCCCGTCCTGGGGTTGAGGCCCGGGTCAGATGGCCGGTCCCTCACACGCGCCCCTGGAAGTGTGACCGGGCCCCCAGCGGAGCCGGGCCAGCACTCGTGACTGAGCTTCAGTAGGGTTTGGACGGCCGAGTTCGGGCTCTGTTACAACATGACGCACCGGAACCCGAGAAGGAGGTTTTCCTTCTCTTCCTGGCTGGGGGAAATGGAACGTGGAGAGAGCCTCACGGCCGCGCGTGTGCGCAGATGCGGGTCATGGTGCGCTGACTATCTGTGCTGCCAGAGCCGCGGGGCAGAACGGCTGTCACCGTGCGGTGGCGACTGCCCAGCAGTGGGGGGCGGGACACCGACGTGGGGCCGTGATCCGGTTGCCGGACTGATCTGTGCCCCTTCACGTCTGAGACGCAGGACCACATCAGCCCCCCTGTTCTTGAAATACGGGCCCCCTCAGTGTAAACGTGTGTACGTTAGGTGGGTGTGGGTTGAGTCCTATCTCAGGAGTGAATACGCCCTGCGTGCCAGTGGCAGCCCCCAGCATCTCACACTTAATGAGTCTGCCCCACGCGCTTGCTGGCCCCATCTCATGCACGAAGTGCATCACCTCTGCCATCTCCTTCCGTTCCAACAGCAGCCTGACGAGGCCGTGGGCAGCGCCTCTGCCTTACGGATGGCGACATTGAGGGTCAGAGAGCTTCCTCCTGCTGAGGTCACGGGGCGCACAGGGGTCTGCACATGGTTCCGTGTGACTCCCCCCTCTGTTCTAACCACGGCACTCCTCTGATTTGCTCCGTATTGTGAAATTACCGCCTTACTCATTTGTGCTGTCCCTTCCAAAGCGCCATCTTCCCTGGGACAGAAACTGGGGGAAATTATCCTCAATGCCTCTCCCACGATGCTGTGTGCCTGTCGTAGGGCACGAGTTTGCCTCCTGCGAGCTCCTCGCCCGTGGACTGTGAGGGGGGCCAGCCGCTCGCCGCCCGGGAAGCATTCAGGCCCACGTCTCTGTTCGCAGGGCGTGCGCAACTACAGCACCCCCGTGGGCTTGGATTCCAGGGTCCTTGTGGACTTGGTGGTGGTGGGGTCCGTTGCCGTTTCTGAAAAAGGTAAGGTTAAAATCGCACCGTGACCTGCAGCGTGACATTCTGCTGTCTGTCCGTCTCCTAGACCCTGACGGTAAGTAATTTCAGTTTCTGGACACGTTCCTGTCCTCTGAGTAACCGCTGTCTCTCTCATTCATTTTGTCCCTCACACTCAATACCTTTACAGTGTTTTCATTTTTCTTAGCAGGAAAAATAAAGTGACATCATCTCTGTTCAGGTGGTGAGAGATATTTCCTCTGTTCTTAAGCTACCTGGAACCAGAGCTGGACTTGTGTGTAGTGTGTCGGTAACGGTTGGTTTTGGAGAACCTCCAGTGAATGGGAAAACGTCAGGCTCTAAACTTTGTTTCCGTTAGGAAGCGGCGGCCTCTGGGCGACGCGTGTTGTCCCGGGCCTGACCGGGAGGCCTGGTGCTTTGCCATTCGGAGGGGGGAGTGGGGGTGGGAGACTCGCCTCTGTGTCTCACTCTGCCCTAGTATGGGAGCCGTTGTAGCGCTTCGTTCGCGCTTTTGCTTTCTCTGTATTCCAGTTACGCGCTCTGTCTGTGTCATTGGGGATGGGTCCCCAGAGGCACACGTCTCCTGGGTGCCTGCTGTGGGCCCCGTGTCAGGCCAGCTCTGGGTGGTCTCTGCCTTGGGCCGCAGGGCCTGGGAAGAGCAGACACAGCGGCTGAACTGTGGCGTGATGTGCTCGGTGCCCGACACAGAAGTGAGCACTGATACCGGCGAGGGTCAGCAGAGTGACCCTAAGGCCTCGAGCTGGGCATCATCTGGGGAGCGACCTCAGGGCTGGCCCTTACGTGCCAGGTGGCGGAGGTGGGTGCAGCGGGAGAGGAGAGGAGGAGGGGCAGCACAGCCCTGGGTAGGTTGGGGTTGGCTTCCCAGAGGCCGCGAGGCCCGGGGACAGGCTTGGGGCCGTGCTCTTGGCAAGGGGCAATTAGCAGGGCCTTTTTTTCCAAAGATGGTCAGGCGCTTCTCAAAGCATCACTCGTGCCCTTCCCAGGCGTCCACCGTCCGTAGTTCCTTGTGTCTGTGAGAGAGATGCCTGTGAGTCCACACGTGTCCTGCGTTCTCTCTGGGGTGGTTTGTGCTTACTCTGTTTCCCCAGAAGGGGGCAGCAGCACGTACGGCACTGTGTGTCCTGCCGGATGATGTCCGTCCCTGCAGACTGATGGGCACTTAAGGTGTCACCAGGGTTTGGTTTTGGCTTTTCCCTTACAGATAACACTAAAGGGAGCCAGGGTCCTGGGGTTGAGTCTGTGGTGCCTTCCAGGGCTTTCGGTGGCATAATCCTAGCAAGTGAATTGCCGAGGCAAAGGGTGGACTTTAAACCCTGGTGGCTGTAGCCACATAACCCACCTCGCATCCCCAGCCCTGTACAGCTCGCCTCCCTCCCTGCTCCCGTGCCAGTAACTAGAATAACCACACTCTGGTGCTTACCCGTCCCGCAGTGAGCAGTCGTATGCCACCTGTCACTTGATTTGCATTCCATGGTGAGCGAAGGTGGTCACTTGTTGTGTTTGCTGCTCACCTGCCTGTCTCTTCGTGCAGACTGTCCACATCCTTTGTGACTCAGACAATTCTGCGTGGAACTGTCTTTGTCTCGTGTATTTGCACGCGTGGCTGGACGTTGGTGACTGTAAGAGTCACGTGACAGACCAGCATTTTAGACCCATGAGCACTGATGCCCTTTGTGATGATGCTGATGCTGAGGTTGTGCAGAAGTCAGGATTTCTGCAGTGTCACGGGCTTCCTAACGGCACGGTGTCGATCCTCTTGGGAGCCAGGTTCCCGTCTTGCCGCGTTCCTTCCTGCCGCGTAGCTTCTCGTCCAGCCTCGGGCTCAGCCTTCCGCTCGCCCCACCTCGGACTTTGCAGTTTGGGACCAGGGCCGCCGGCCCCGCCCTCCTGTGGCGCTTTTCACAAGGCAAAGTGATGCCGTCTTAAATCGCCTGTCCCTCATTTTCGTTTTTATTTCTCTTCCAAGAGAAATAGCTTAAAAAGATTCTGTGTTTAGTAGAAATTTGTTCTTAATCTTTTTAGAAACCGCTCTTTCGTTACTTTTAAACCTGAGTTCTGCTCATACAAACAAGGTTCCATTTCCTCTTGTAACACGTTTAAAGGGATCGAGGTTCACGTCACTGCGTGCTGACCGCTGTGCGTGCGCATCGTCTTCTGTCCCCTGAACCCCACTACTAGGGGGCCGCCCGCCCGTGGGCTCACTGTGGCAGTTTCTGAGGAGGGGCCGGGGATACTGGGTCCAGGTTTCTGCTTCCACTGTGACCTAATGAAATGAAACATGTACTCCGGAGATACTACTGATGCTCTGCGTGTTTCTTAGGTTGGAGAATTGGGAAGGGAGAAGGTTATGCTGATCTGGAATATGCCATGATGGTGTCGATGGGAGCGGTCGGCCCGGAGACACCAGTGGTCACCATCGTCCACGACTGCCAGGTGCTGCCCGTGAACGGGCCCAGCAGAGCCACTGCCACACCCGAGAGAGCGGGAGGGGAGGGAGGGAGAGAGACAGAGACGGAGTGGTCTCTGCCTTCGCTCCGCAGCTGTCGCGAGTGGTGGCCATCAGCGGGGGCCGGATCTGTTTGGCAGCATGGCGGTGAGGCCTTCTCCCTTCGGGCCTGGCACATGCATCTACTGTGTGTGCGGTGAGCACGGGAGCCGTGTGCCCGCCAGCCCCCTCACCCCCTTCTGTTTGACCAGGTCATCGACATACCTGAAGCGCTGCTCGAGGACCACGACCTCACCGTGGACTACATTCTCACTCCGACGAGAGTCATTGCCACAGGGTGTGAGCGCCCAAAGCCAACGGGAATCTTATGGTCCAAGGTGGGTGCCGTGGCCGGCAGTGGCCTGTAGCTCAGAGGCATACCCTCCTGTGTGGCGTCCTTTGGCATGGCAGCTGTCCCCAGGCCTGGCGTGTCTGTGCGTTACAATCACCCGCGAGCTTTTGAACAGTTGAGCTCCTGAATCTGTCTCCCGGCATGGGCCCAAGAATATACTTTGCAATCCTGTGGGATTCTGGTAAGCAGGCAGGTGCAAGGTCTCCCGCCGCAGGGCACCAGCTGTCCACGGCAGAGAGAGCTGCCCACTCGGAGGGCCGATGCCCCGACACCCTTGCTGGCGGGTCTCATCTCAGGGCTGCGTGCCACCGTCCTGGCCACAGCCTCCTGCTGCCTCATCGGCTTTCTCGCTGGGAGTCCCAGATTGTCTCGTGTGACCTGGCTGTCCACGCGGTACCCGTGGCCTTCGTAAGCTGATGCCTTGGTGACTTTTATCCGCAGCATTTGCACGGCACACGGCACGATAGTCTGCGGTAGGAGGTCGGTCCCAGAGGCCAGCCCGCAGGTTAGGGCCCCACCTGCCGGCGAGCAGCCAGAGCTACTGAGGAGACGGGCACAGCTTGGGCTTGGTATGGACTGAAGCCTTTGTTCCACACCTTCCATCCCTGGAACCCGAATTGTCCAGAGTTGGAAAGCAGCCTCCCCTTGGGCATGGAGACCCCGTAACCTCCACCTCCAAGCTTGACACCAAAATGAAATGCTACGGCCCAGTGGGCCTTCCCACAGACGCCACGGCCAGGCAGTTCTGGGCTCCTTCTAGGTTAGCCCGACGAAAGCAGAGAGGAGAGGCAGGCGTGACCTGAAAGTGGGCCGGTGGGGGTCCGAGTGTGTGCTGAGCGCCGTGGGGAAGCCAGTGGCACCCTTAGTGAGTATTAAGATGTCCCTCGGTGTCTGTCCTGAGCACTTGGGTTTACCTTGGAATTCGGGGCCACAGCTGCTCTGAGTGGAGGCTGATACACAGGTCACAGGAGCAAGGTGGCCTTTGCTCACGGCTGAGAATGTGAGTCGGGGCAGGTTACACAAGAGGCTGACTACAGCAAGGCCACAGGTCCCCTGGAGGACGGCACTTCATAGACGGAAGGCCGACTGCAGCCCACGTTAGGAAGATTCTGGGCGGCCTCTCCAGGAAGAAAAACAAAGATGTGTTGCTTTGGGGAATAGTCATGGTCACATTCTGCTGATTTTAACAAGAAAAATATCAACAGGTGATGTTATTGGTCGTGTTAGGTGAAGATAACTCCTCGTGTGTAAAAGAAAACCAAATGAACCAGGGATCCCAAAGAAGTAGCCATACTTTGTACGTAGGGCGTTGGGGCCTTTACTGGTTTTTGACGCCCCCACTGTTTCAGCCCCTTCCTGGAAGATCGATTGCTAATGAGGCCTGAGCAAGAATCTCAAACTTTTATTTTTTATTTTTACTATTTTTTTTTTAAGTAGGCTCCACGCCCAACGCGGGGCTTGAACTCACAACCCCGAGGTCAAGATTTGTGTGCTCTACCGACTAAGCCAGCTGGGTGCCCCAAGAATCGCAAACTTTTATCTATCTATCTATCTATCTATCTATCTATCTATCTATCTATCTAATGTTTGTTTATTTTGAGAGAGAGAAAAAAAGCATGTGCAGGCAGGGGAGGAGGAGAGAAAGAGGGGGAGCGAGAGAATCCCAAGCGGGCTTTGTGCCGTCAGCACGGAGCCCAGCATGGGGCTTGAACTCACGAACTGTGAGACCATGACCTGAGCCGAGATCAAGAGTCGGATGCTTCATTAACCAACTGAGCCACCCAGGTGCCCCAAGAATCTCAAACTTTTAAAAGGCCATTTCTCATTTTGGGGTCCTGTGTTAGTTCTCCCACCACAGGGCGTCCCTTTGCACGGGGTCATGTGAAAGCAGCAACTTTCTCCAGTCCCTGGGGCTTCTGTTCTGGCCTCGCTTTGTGTGCAGCCGGAAGGAATTTTCACTGACATTGGGAACCCCTGAATTCCACTGAGGATTTGGGAAGGGGTGGGGAAGTTCAGTTGTAGGATACAGTTTGATTTCAGATGGACTATGAGATACACGTTGGCGTATCCTCCTGTGGATATTCTACCCGTAGACTGTTGTCGTGTGGGTATTAGAATCCCCGAGTTTGCTTCTCGTCTGTTTTGTGGAATATCTGGAATCACAGTTTTTTTCTAAACACTGTAGACCTCCCAGATGAAGGTTACGAAATAAGTACAAAGTGTGATACATTTTCTTTCTTTTTTTTTTTTTTACTCGTTCTTAATACACAAAGATTGTGCAGCATTCGATTCCCCTGGCCTTTGCCCCACCTTCTGAGAGAGGCATGTGGTGCTCCCGCTGGGGGGCCAGCAGGTATGGACTCTGCTGTCCAGCTGTAGTTCCTTTGGGCAGTGGGGAGGGGGGGCCCTTGACCCACCTTGTCCTCTTTTCTGCCTGTGCTTTGTGACTTTAAGTTTTTTTAATGTTTTATTTATTTTTGACAGAGAGAGAAACAGAGCATGAGCAGGGGAGGGGCAGAGAGAGGGCGACACAGAATCGGAAGCAGGCTCCAGGCTCCGAGCTGTCAGCACAGAGCCCGACGCGGGGCCCAGACTCACGAACCACGAGATCGTGACCTGAGCTGAAGTCGGACGCTTAACTGACGGAGCCCCCCAGGCGCCCCAAGTGCTTTGTGATTTTAAAGATGGGTGACCAGGGGGCGCAGTAGTTTGGAGAGCTCAGCAGCCACCGTAGGGCCTCTCAGTCGCTGTATCTGTGACCTTGGTGCACCCTCTGCAGGTTACCCCCCCCCCCCCCCCCCCCCCATTAGTTTATCTGTAGCGTGGAGAGCATCGGTGCTGACCCCACAGGCAGAGTATGGAAGCACCGGCTAAACTTGCCCTTTGACACCGGCGTGGCTGTCACAGGCGTGAAATGGAAGTCAGTAATTGTGAGAAACGTGCCTGGATGCTGTTGGTGCTGGCAGCGTCCTCGCGGTTCCCCTTTGAGACGTTCACTGAGCCAAGACTGGGCCTGGCCCGAGTCGTTCCGTGGCTGTGCGTTATCACCGTGTGCCCTTCACTGCCTCTCAGTGAAGGAGAAAGAGACGTTCCTCCTGGAAAGTGCGTCTGCTCTGTTCATGTGGGTTCCTCTGTTCCCTCAGAGTGGCCTCTCACCTGCTGACCTGTCAAACTCAGGGAACTTTTCCCTGTCTAAGCTACAAGGTGCCATGACTGCCCCACTCCAGCCACAAGCTGCCTCCCCTGAGGACCCAGAACCTCCTGAGCCGCCGGCCCAGCAGGTCCAACCCGGTGAAAGGAGGTGTTCCTCCCAGGATCTCTGCCCAGCTGGCCGGTGGACGGTATGAGACCCAGCCATTGAGGTGGGTCCCGAACCCCCGGGTAGATGTGGATGGCCATGTGCAAGGTGACCTGCAGGCCTTAGCTCTGGCTGGAGCCCCCGCACGGCCCCATCCGCTCCCAGGGCTGCAAGATGGTGGGTCACGACAGAGCAGTGCAGTGTCCCGCCCAAGAGCCTGGCTGCCTGCTAGACCCAGACGAGCATCTGGAAAGCAGGACGGGGCCCTCTGTGTGTGGGGCTCCAGGTTGTTTCTGACACCTCCGCTCCCCTCGCATGGCCCCACCGGACTGGACCTCAGGACAGCGAGACCCGTGCCTTTATTGACATCTGCTGAGCTAGAATGGGGCAGATGGAGGGTATGATACTTATTTAAGGGTACCCTGGAGACATGGTCAGGCAGCGGGGTGTGGCTGCAGCTCCAGAGAGACCCAGGGCACCCACGAGACCGCTCCTTGCCACCAAAGCCACAGACCAAAGGACTGCTTCCCAGCCCCTTTGCTCCCTGCAGTAATTGTGGGAAAGGTGTTACCACTGTTACGGAGGGGAGCAGTGGGACTCTGTTGACCAACGTCTGGATGTTTGTCTTTCTCGGATCAACTCATTTTGTCCTTCAGTGAGGAAATGGGGCTCTGCCAGGGTCATCCGTGTATACAGGCTCAAAGAAACAAAAAGTTCTGTAGCATCCACAGCTGTTAGGGAGTGCTGTTCCCAGATGGTCACCATGCCGGTTGACTGACTTCTTGAGAATGACACATGCCTTGAGGAAAAGGGTTTGGGGACAGGGACCTCTTCTGTGAGCAGCAGCCGTCCTGGGACGCAGACGCCTGCTTTCCGATCCCGCATCACAGTGTTGTCTGGAAGTAACAGCCAGATGTGGACTGAGCCACACCTACAACGGGGCCGGGGACTTAGGCCGATCCTTCCACTTAAAAAGATTTGCTGTATTTGTCCCAGTAATTGAACTTCTAGGAACCTGTCCTAGAGAAATACTTAGAAATTCAGGTAGAGATGCGTGCATCCCGTATAATGCAGGGCCCTGAGGTGCGTCAGGGTCCCAGATGCCAACCCTGTCATTAAAGTACATGCAGCCTTTTGAGAGTGTTTGACGGTGAGAGGAAACGCTCGTGTGATACGTGCCAGGTGGACGGGCAGTGTGCGCGTCTCTGCACGTTTGCGGTGTCGTGTGTCCTCAGCCCGTGGCGCTGGAACCCGCGCAGGAAGGGGCAGGGGTAGGCCCGCGCGTGAACCGTAGCCGTCTCCGAGAGGGGGATTCCGATATCTGTTCACCGTTTTCTGAATTTCCCACAGCGGGCGCGCGCCCCCCGTCCGCACTACCGAGGAGAGACGGTTTCCGCGGGCAGCCTTCTCCCCGGGCGCTCGCCTCCAGTTCTGCAACGAGCCTCCCTTTGCCGCGCGCCCAGGGGGTAAGAACAGGCGCCTGAGACGATCGATGCCCCAGTTCTCAGGAGTCCTGTGCTTGTGCGTGGGGGCGACGCTGGCCTGCCCCAGCTGCTGGTGCAGAGCACCTGCCTGTGCGTGAGGTGGGGCCGCACGGGCCGCTCTTCCCCGCGCGGCTGACGCCCCGGTGTGGAGCTGAGCCCGGAGCCGCCTGGCAGGAACGCATGCCACACCCGGCTCCGAACTGGCCCGGTGGGAGGGGACTCCCTGCGCTCGTGGGCTCGTCTGTCGGGCTGTCCCCACCCCCCGAACAGCATAGGATGGGCGGGCACCGAAGTGTGTGGACAGAAGCTGGCATGTGTGGCACGGGTTGGAGGTGATCATGTGTTCCAGCAAGTAAACACCGTTTTACCCCGTGTTGCGTAGTGATTCCGTGGCCACCCCCAAACGGCCCCTCTCTTCCTGACTGTGTGGGGCGTGCGATGGGGCGATGGTGTGCGGTCACTGCCCTCCTGGTCCTTCAGCACCCACAGTAAGAGCATAATTATAAAGGAGTGGCCCTGTGGGGCCTTTTCTATTAAGTGACACCTTTGATCATCTCTGTGCAAAAAGACGTACACATCGAGCCCTGTTACAATCAGGAGCCACTATAATTAGCCAACAGATGCTGCAAGGCAGGAATGACTTTTGGAAGACAGCTTGTTCCTTAGCTGTGCTGTGTTCTTGCATGCTTGGTTACTCGAGTCGCTTCACCTTGCTCATTTGAAAGTACCGTATTTGAAAGAATTTTCGATCCAAGCACCTGGGTGGTCGGTTGAGCCTCCGACTTCGGCTCAGGTCATGATCTTACTGTTGGTGAGTTCGAGCCCCGTGTCGGGCTCTGTGCTGACGGCTCGGAGCCTGGAGCCTGCTTCGGATTCTGTGTCTCCGTCTCTCTCTCTCTGCCTCTCCCCCGCTCATGCTCTGTCTCCCTCCCTCCCTCCCCCCCTCCCTCCCTCCCCCCTCAAAAATAAATAAACATTAAAAAAATTTTTTTAAATAAAAGTATTTTCGATCCATGAATGACAAGTGTTGGTCTCATGTGTGGCAGTAGTAATTTGTGTGGACATTGTATGTCACATGAGAAACACGTATGGTGTTCCTGTTCCTTTGCCAGCAATAGCTCAAACGTGTGCTAGCGTTTCAGAGTGAGGATCCTCCCTCCCAGTCTCTGTATCTTCTGCTCAAGTAAAGGGGGAGTCAGGAAGAGCAACAGGTGTGAAATTCTGAAGCCAGGGGTTGGGGGAGGCAAGGTTAGTCTTCCTTCTGAGTTGGCCGCAGGTGCCTTGAGAGTTAGGCTGCTGGTCTGTATTGGATTTAGCATGTATTTCTAGGGGACGGGATTTTTAATCTTTAAAGAGAACGTATGTTTATACACGATCTTCGTAAAACATCAGTAGAGAATGGTTTTGGCACACAAAAGAAAGTTAAATTCGCTATACTATCTTTTAATGGAATGATTAGTTATTGAAAGGCAGAAACGTATTTGTATGTTTGGTTAATAGGCAAAAATCTTTCGTGTCACATGGCGCACTCACAGATGTAACAAATGTTCCTAATGGCCAGCCAGGAAAAACAGCGTAGCACCGCGTGGACTGTCCTGAGCGTGAAGCCAGCCCGTCTAGCCGGCGCACAGAGGCCTCTGTGTCAGCTGTGGGACAGCCGTCAGCCCCAGCCGCTCCGCAAAGAGCCCAGAAATGGCAGACAGCTGGGAAAGTGTCAAAAGTGGCCACCTCTTAGTCGGGGAGATTTTTCCATTGAGAACGTGTGGGCGTGCAAGGATGAGCCGACGCTGAGCTTTGTCCTTCCTTACCCGAAACCATCCTGTCTTGAGACCAGCAGTTTTAGGCAACGGTGACGCAGTTGGCATTTCCCCTTGTAAAGGGGTGTGTGTGTGTGTGTCTGAGTGTGTTTGCGGTGCTGTAGACTTAGCTCAGAATGCGTACCCAGTGAAAACATTTTTGTTGTTCAGCCATTCGCAGTGTGTACGTGTGCCTGCTTGGGATACAGCGCCCCCTGTGGGGTGCGGAGCGGGTGTGCTTTTGCCCCACGTGACGCGTTTTTAAAGGGATCTCTGCTGCCTGAGTGTGGAACCTCGCCCCCTGGGTCAGGTTCCCTGAGAACGCTAGCTTCTGCCGGAGGGAGCCCCGTGGTTCGCTGGGCAGAAGCACGTGGGGGTTTCAGCATGTGGGGCGATCACCCGGCCAAGACCGCTCGGAGCCGGTGCTGGTGCAAGTGCTGTTACCAGGAGGTCTGGCCTCGTGGGTGTTGGGTGGAACGACATTCAGCGTTGCCACAGAAGTACGTAGTCACACGTTTCCTCCGACTGTAATTGCAACTTTGAGTTGGGTCATCCTTTCTAAATACTAGATCTGGTAACTTCAAGACATCCCGAAGAACCTATATGACCAGTTTGGGGGCACCTGGCTGGCTCCGTTGGAAGAGCATGTGACTTGGGGCGCCTGGGTGGCTCAGTCGGTTAAGCGTCCAACTCTCGATTTCGGCTCAGGTCACGATCTCACGGTTGTGAGATTGAGTTCCGTGTCAGGCTCTGCACAGGCAGACAGTGCAGAGCCTTCTTGGGATGCTGTCTCTCCCTCTCTGCCCCTCCCCTGATCACTCTCGGCACACGCTCTCTCCCTCTCTCAAAATAAATAAACTTTAAAAAAAAAAAGCACGTGACTTTTGATCCCAGAGTTGTGAGTTCAAACCCCACATCAAGTGTAGAGATTCCTTAGAAAATAAAAAGAATCTGATTATGACCAGTTTCAATCTGTTTTTAAGTACTCTGAAAGGACACAGGAATGTGAACTCTTTAAGAAGGTAGAATGGAGGCGTGGGAGGGTCGGTTGCTGGACCAGACCATCTTCAGGACGCCTTGGGACCAGAGCCTCCAGGGTACTGGCCTGGGAGCTCTGTCACCTTTGAGTGAATCAGTTCGGGAGAATTGCAGAGTCCAGTGGAAGAAAGATCCCTTTTGATTAGAAAAGAGAAGCTTCATCTCATGCATGTGTCCATGGCAGACGTGGTTTTTGCTTGTCTCTTTGCGTCTCGACACTGGGAAACATTAGGGGGAGGTTTTCTCTGAACAGCGTCTTTCTGTGGCGGCTGAGAGTCTCTGTGCTGCTCTGAGGACGTGAGTGGGCAAGAACCGGGCACAGAGGCTTCTGACGTGGCCGTGCCCGGGAGCGAGGGTGGTGTCCGTTTGGAGAGGGATCTGAGCCAGTGGAGAGGTGGGCCAAGGTGGGGGTGTTGTCCACTTAGTGCTGGGAGAGAGAACCAGGTGCCAGATTAATGAGGACCAGCAGCCTTGAAGTTTGTGAGGAGGGGCTCGACCGTTCTTGGGTGTTTGAGTTTCTTTGACCCTTTCTCTAAATCGCTGATCCTTAACCTGGGGCCTGTGTGCCCCTTGCGGTTTGGAGACCCCGGAGTAGACTGGGAAATTGCGCACAGAATTGCGGGGGACTCCTCCTTGGGAAGGAACCCCGGCTTGTCTCCCAAGGTGTCTGACACCTGCCGGGGATAAGAACCATTACTCTAGTGACATACGGTTCTGAATGGAAAGAGAACATCGTTACTAGGTGGGCTATTTACTTGTAGAGGGAAGTTACATCTATCCAGCTCGTATGCTGATACGTATCCTGACGTGCCCACGTTTGTGGGAAGTCCCGTGTTGGGACCATTGCCCACCATGCCCTGTAATTGGTCATGTACAAGCTCTGTGCCCTAACGCAGGACACAACGCATCTGTAAAGACTGAGGATTGCTAAGAAGGGCTCACCAGTGCCTTTCTCTTCCTTGTCTGCCATGTGATTCCTTAAACGACAGAAGACGGGTTTTGTCCCGGGTTCAGTCGTCCAGGCTCAGCCTAACCTGAAGGGCTGCCCCAGGGAGGGGCCGTCAGCTGCCATGCGGCAAGCGGGCTCGAGTCAGTCCCCTCTGTGCGCGGACCCCACTTGTCCGTCCCGGTACTCGAGGGGGGCCCTGCCTCCTGTCTCGGGGTGCTTTTACCGCCTCCTTTGTTGCAGCTTCCCAAAGAGCCAAAGTAGAAATCCTGTTCATTGAGACTTAACGTTTCGTGTAGTGCTGCTTTGTAGCTTGATGAACCTGTTGCTAGAAAGTTTTCAGAAGTGGCGTTCTGTTTCAGCTTTGCCTTGTCTCTGCATTTTTGGCAACACGTTGAAAGGTTCGGTCCCTGAGGAACGCTCCTCCAGTGGAGGAGTGGGGAGAAGGGGGAGGCCCCAGGGAGCCCCGTTAAAGAGCTCATCCCACCCACAGGGTGGGGACTTGGGAGGAGGGGCTGGCATGGAGGCAGAAAGCCCCGATTATCATGGAGGTCACCAGGGGGATTGCCACCTGTGACCCGTCACCCTCTTTCCACTGACCTTCCCCGCTATCCCTTCTGCATAGGAGGCCTTTGCTTTTCTGCTTCCCGAGTAGAGAAAACCGTTCCACTCCTGCCAGCTGCCGTGGCACGTCGGGCACAGTCTGAAGTGGCTTCGGGGTCCCAGATTTCACTTAAGCTGGGGCAGGACGGGGACCGAGGGGTCCTGCTTCCCAGAGGGCCAGGGTGGGCCCCTAGGGCAGCATGGCCGAGACTGCTTACCTGAGCGTGTGCGGCAGAGGCCCCCGTGCGACTTTGATTTCTCCTCTGTTCGTGACCGTGTTGGGACCCCTGGAGAACAGCTGGGACTGCTTTGCTCTTTCAGATCAGCTGGGAGGTGATGGGGAAAATCCCAGTACTCCAAAGCCTTCGTCACCGAGAGAAGCAGGCTGGGAAAGACGTCACCCTCCGGGACGAGCCCCGGCGCCTCCTGGGAGCCAGCAGCCAGCAGCCAGCTCACCTGAGCGCCGTCCGGGGGCCCCGGGACCCACCCCTGCCAGAACCCTGCCCTGCGCAGGGGGAGGACGGGCCCACTGGCACCGTTTGCGTCGGGAACCTTCCCCGGGACGCCCGAGTGAGCGAGCTGAAGAGAGCCCTCCGAGAACTCGGAGCGGTCCCCCAGAGGCTCACTTGGCAGGGGCCCCGGGGCAGGGCCCTCCTGCATTACCAGGCCCCGGCCTCCGCCCAGCAGGCCGTCTCCCGCTTGCAGGGCTTGCGCTTGGGGGCGGCCACCGTGACGGTGGCACTGGCCAGGCGGCAGAGGGCCAGCGACCTGCCGGGCGGCCGCGTGCAGGAGCCACAGCCTGACTGTCGCCCGGCCGTCGCCGACCTGTGATGGGGCGCTGCTCCGGTCCCCGTGGAACTTGAGGGGCGTGGCAGCAGGACTCGGCAGAGCGTTGCTGTGTGAGCGGCTTTGGGCCCAGGCCTCTCCAGGATGGCCCGGCCTTGTGTCACCGCCCAGGACCTCCTGACGAGTAGAGAGTCAGCCAGTAGCTCACGGCCGACATGTCCCAGCCCTGCTGTGTCTGCGTCCCGTAACCTGCCGGGTGTTGCCACCACACCGGCTTCTCTGGTTATTCAGAGGCCGCAGGGGACCGAGTCGGAGTAAACGGTGGCAGCCAGGGGTTTGTGGTTGGGGGGAGGGGGAGTAAGGGGCGAGGCCCTGGCAGGGGTCAGGGGCAGGTGCACGCCCTGCTGTCCTGGGATCCTGGGTCTGGAACCACCGCAGGGGGAGAGCTGTGTTCAAGTCGCAGAAGCCAACAAGCGCGGTCTCCTGGGTACGGCTGTTTGTCACAACTTGGCGCTGGCGTCCGTGACGGAGAGCCCGTGTGACTGGGGGGCGGTACACACCTCACTGCTCTGCCCTCCTTGCCTCTCCGGCCTCACCCCTCCGTCCGGGAGAACACCCTCCACTCCACATGGTCTTGTAGGAGGTACCCGCCATGGAGAATGAGCTGTCCCAGCCTGTGTCACAGACAGTGACAGACGCTCATGCCGATTTGCCTAATGCCCCACGTTTCTTGGTTTTTTCCCTCCACTTTTCCTGAAAAGCAAACTGGATTTTGGCTGAACTGTGCTTTCTAAACAGAAGCACTTTTGCAATGGATCCTGGGCAAAAAGTCAAAGAAAGCATTTACATGGAGATTTTTTTTTTTTTTTTTAATGTATACACGTGAGAAATTTTAGTTTTTTCACCAGCAGGTCGTACTGGGCACGTTGCAAGCACATTGTTACACCTCAGGAGGGCCTGGCTTGCGTGTGCTTTCAAGAAAACCTTGAGGCACTCGGTCTCCCTCACCAAAGCGCTTTCTCATCGGCTTTACAACGAAAATACCGTGGAGACGTCGGAAAAGCCTGCCCTGAGATTGCTCACCAAATGTAGGCTTCTTTCCCAAGGCGTCAGGAATCAAACGAAGGGCGGAAAGATCTTCTGGGCTCTCTCTTCCCACCTGTACTGCCCACCCCACCCTTGTGGCTGCCTTTTGCTTCGTCACCCAGCGCCCGGCTCAGATGTTAGAGGCTGAACCTGACCCCCTCACCCAGAGCAGCAGTCTGGTCGTCTGACTCCTCACGGTTTTTTGTTTTGCTTTTCTGCCTTGTTTCTCATGTCTTTTTTCCATAAATTTTCCCTGTATTTGACATATTCTCGTTTAGTCCTCGTGGACTTTGTTGTCGTCGATCTGTCACCATTAGACCAGTGCTCCAGGAGACCAGGAGCTGAGCGTGTGGCTGTCCTATTCGCCCCATGCTGTGTCCCAGCCGTGAGGACAGTTGGTGGATACGCAGGCTGGGAAACATGGGATACGGGCATGGGTGCGTCAGGGCCAACGGGGGGTGGGGGTGGGGGGGCGGTGGGCTGCGGGAGGAACGTGCCTGACCACAGCAATTGGACACCAGCCTGCCTTGGGCTGTGGCATCATCCCTCCCAGTTAGGCCAGCTTGCTTGGCTTCTCTGTCCGTTGCATCCAGAATAATCCAGATATGTTGAAATGCAGACAATCCAAGTGAGTTCACCATTTTTATATCTGTGGGAAGTAGATCAGTACAAGCAAAACCCAAGACCCAAGTGCCTGAGATAGAAGCACCCTGAACGTACCAGCCTACACGCCTTTTCTCCTCCTCCTGCTGTGGGCAGGCCTGGGAGCGCCAGTCTCTCAGGGCCACCAGGAAGGGCACGCAGAGTATAAGGCGGGTGCTCAGTGTCCCAGCCTCTTGTTCCCGAGGCTCGGGTATCAGTGATGGTGGCGACGGCCCTAGAGCCGTCCCAGGAGCCATCCCAGGCGACAGTCTTGGATGCTGAGACCAGTGGAAGCAGGCAGGGTGGCAGCGACACTGAGCTTGCCGGAGAGCACCTTTGTGAGGGGCGTTGGGCACAGCAGCTAGAAAGGCCCGGGAGAGGCAGCTCTTTCTGCCCCGGAGGCGGCCGGCTGTCGTGTGGTCTGGCCCTGGCTTATGGGCTTCCCCCTGGAACAGAGGAAGGCACGCGCGCGACCTATGTTCCTCGGCCTGAGAAGCCATGGCCGGGCCCCTCCCCAGCCTCCAGATGACCAGATCACTGAGCTGGAAACAGTCCCTCCCCTTTGAGATCCACTTCAGGTGAATAAAGAGATGAACACAGGGCCTTTGGAAGGCTGTCTCCACGTGGAGGGACCTGACAGGTGAGGTGTGAAGGACAGATTCACTCCGCGAAGCAAGCGGGTCCCAGGCAGCACCTGCTCCATTGTGGGAGGTCTGAGAGAACGGTTTCCACGCTCCTTTGAAAAAGTCGAGTCAGTTTTTGCCCTTTTCTCCTCTGCTCTCAAGCGAGACAGGTGAAGATGTCTCTTAAAAGCACAGACACCTGGTTTAGCATTGAGTTTTGTGCTGGAAGACATGACCTGGAGGAGAAAGTCCTCCAGCAAGAAGGCAGGAAGACAAGAGGAGGGGCTGTGGCCGGGCGCCTGAGGAGCCCCCGCTCAGGTAAGCCGCACGTGCACCCTGCAGCAGAGGGGGCCGCCACGGATGACATGCGCCCGAGGCCCCGGTGGTCTGCGGACGGTCGGTCGGCATCTCAAAACCGCATCCAGCCCTTGCACAACCGCCAGTACGGGAATCAGAAGGTGGTTCGGAAGCCGTCTTATCCGTTAAAAGAATAGACTGGGGGTGCCTGGGTGTCGCGGTCAGTTAAGCATCTGATTCTTGACCTCAGCTCAGGTCTTGATCTCAGGGTGTTGAGTTCAGGCTCCAAGCTGAGCTCCTCCCTGGGCGTGAACCCTCTTTTAAATAGACAGATAGATAGATGATAGATACAACCCGCAAGCCGGTAAGGGAAAAAAAAACAAACCGTTCTTAGCAATGAAAACATCATAAGCTTAGTCCAACTAAGGTCAGAATAGATGCACACACGAGCCGGAAGGTTAAGGCACGGGACTCTCCTGACACCAGTGCAGAGGGAACAGGGGAGGGAAGTACGAAACAGTGGGAGAAATAAACCAAAATGTTCTTTAGCTGAAGAAAGATTTGACATCCCCTGGAGAAAGTCTTCAAAGGCGAAACCAACGGAAGCATGTAAATCCGTGGCCTTCCCCCACAGTGACCGTGACTTCCTGAACGCCTTTCGATGCAGCAGCAGCAGCAGCAAAACTGAAGTGCTTGGCACGCACCTAATGAGCCGTCCAGTGCCCGGATGGACGAAATTCTAAAAGGTTCCTGAAAGAAAGAGGAGAGGTCTGAGTAAAAGGACACGCCGTGTGCTATAGCTGCGGGGTTCAGTAGTATAAAGAGAGTTCTCCCCCTGGTGAGATATCCTGTCCCTGATGGCGCCAGGCAGGGGAGGGGAGGGGAGGAGAGGAGAGGGGAGCAGCACGGAGTCCGCGTAGCAGTGCAGAGGAACAGAAAGTTCTGAAGCAGGCGGGAATCCGCAGCGAGAGAGTGACTGCAGAGGGAGGGAGGACTCGCGTAGGATATGCAGTTTCGAAGGCGCACCTCCCTGCCGAGGGAGCCCCAGGCCAGTCGGAGATGTAAATGTGGGAGGAAACGGGAGAGAATCCGAGGGTAATTCAAGAGAGTGTGCTCTCCCACCCGTAGTGTCGGGATGGGGGAGGGGGCGTCCTAAGAGACAGACCCTGAGTGGAGGGAGGAACCTACTCCTCTGCTCCCCTTTGGGGTGTCGGGTCCTGGTTCGTACAGAGTCCAGACGCGCCGTCCGCCGGGAGCTCTCTGAGGAGTACTCCTCCAAGTGCAAGATCAACCCATGCGTATTGAGTAGGAGTAGCTTTTGTAAGGCTGCCAGACGGCCTCTTAAATGCTCGAAAGCCCGTGAGTCCAGCTGCCCCCAAGCGGAGTTGATAAAACAGAAGATTCTTTGCCTTTCGGTGATGTTTGGGGGCAGACGCCCAACTTTGTCCTACTTCTAAAAAGGGAAAGGGAAGTCGCTAGGACAGTGCGGCTTGTGCCCCGGTTGCTGGGCAGCGGCCCGCCCTGCCAGCCCTCAGGAGGAGGGGCCTGCCCACCCTCCCGGGGCCTTACGTGGCCCCTCAGTGCTTGTCATCCCGTGACCCGCACATGCCTCACCCCAGACACCACATAAGGGGAAGGAGAACTGTGACGACACAGGACCGCAGGTAAGAGGGCTGAGGACAGATGCGCCCGAGGAGCCAGTACAGGCGACGGGACGCTGGAGAGGGGAAGACACATCAGGGGAGAGCAGAGAGAACCGCTAACCAGGTCCAGGGCTGGTCCGCAAGGGCCCGCCGCTCTGTCTGCGCTCGCACCACGGCAGACCTTCCCCTGCACACCAGCGGCCAGGGCCGGATGATCTTACTGGGCACGAGACAGTGGAGCGCAAGTGAGGATTCCTTCCCTTCCCTCTGCCACCTCTAATCTTTCCGGGGAGCAGTGTTCTCGTCTGCCTTACCCCGCGGCCCCAGGAAGCACCTGGCTTGCACCTGACTCGGTTTCCAAAATGTTTATTCTGGTTCTCACACCCCCGGCCCCCAGCAGAAATAGGGATTGCTAAACTCCCTTCCCCTTTATCTGGGTCTAATCCAACCAGTGTCCCAAATAGTCCTAAAACTTAAGGACTCTAGTCATTTTCAAAAACAATTTTTGAAGGCGGCGGGGTCCCAAGGGAACCCTCAAAATAAATCCTACACACGACCCCAGACAAAAGCAAGAGGAGGAGGTTACTGGGTAGGTGAAGATACAGCCACTTCCCAAGGTCATTCTTTAACGGCTGCTGCCTACCTGACCGCCTTCCCCCTTTTCTCTCCCGGCTGAGGGAGGGGACAGCATCCTCACCTAGACTGGCTTATATTGTCTGCTGTCGTTACCCTCCTAGTAATGGCTCGAATTGAT